CAAAGCACTGAGTAAAAAAACTGAGTCACATGACTCAGAAGCCCATAGGAAATGTTTTCCTATGTGTGCACAGCAATTGCTGTGCATACACATTGGATCCCTGTTGATTCTCTGGGAGGAGCATTGGATTGGGCCTCTTCCAAGACCACATGAGTGGTGAGCAGTGCCAAGGAGAAGGGCAAGTAAATTCATTATTTTATATTGTCTGGCTTTTAATGGCAAAACAAGAGGGGGAGGGAGGGGAGGAGGCAGAGGGATGCATTATTTTTTTTGGATGACAGATTCCCTTTAGCAGATCAACACCACAAGTCAACTTTGTATACCTTTTGTCAATACTGTATGGCGTGATTACATATATCTAGGAAAACAAGGTCAGCAGGGTTTAATCTTATCTGCTCAGTTGTCTCCAATGCCATCGGGCTGGTACAAGGTGAGAAGCAAATGGATGGTGCCAGAGGACACAGTTGATGTTCAGTGATAAGCTAAGCAGAGATAGCGCTAATCAGCACTATCAATACTTCAAGATAATCCTTGCACTGAATGCAATGTTTTAGCTTTTCAAGTATGGTTTATCTCAATTATTTCAGTTATTTAATGCAACACAATCTCTCGAGGGTGTGCTATTAGATTACGATAAAACAATTATTGCTGTTGATGGATATCACTTTATCCTGACCACTTGCAGCAGGGGTCTGCAACCTACATCCCACGTACCTTCCTTATAAGACCCATTGAATGAAATCTATCCTTAACCACTCTGTGACGTCACCCCGAGTGAGGAGGGGTATCTACCGCCAGAGATGTCCTTTCCCCCTAGTCTGAGTAGTGCTGCAGTATTCTCCAGTTGATATCCAAGCCGACCAGGAATCTAATATAGATGTAGAGCTCTTATAAGAGCTAGTGGTTATAGCAGTTTCCTACAATCACAAGACGAGGCTACGTATTGAGGGTTAAGTGAACTGGTTTAATGGTAGCCACACTGGCCTTTTATGTAATTCCCCATGCAAGCGGCACTCCCACATGGACCTTGTTGGGGACAATACCAACTTACAAACCAATAACGACAGTTACATTGTATGACACTCCCTCACATGGAATACAATCCCTCCCCTCTGCCTGGGAGATAATGGAGTCAATTACTGTATCAACTCAAATATCTCAAGGCGAAAAAACATAATTTAAAGACAATCAGAAAGGACCCCAAAAACTCACATAAAAAAAAAAAATCCCGATAGCCCAGATATGGGTGTGCAACATATCCCCCCCCAAAAAAAATCACCCAGATCGGTTCAGGGGTTCATCTATGGCGGTTTTCGTACAAATCCACGTGGGGTTTTTATGTCTGTTTATGATATGTCTGGAAAATGTGAAATTTTAAGATTTTTCTGGCCAGCAGATAATTGAGTTTAGTATGTTTGCAAAACTCAATTATCTTGCTGGCTCAGAGGATGCTGTATAAATTGAATGCCTTTGCCTGCCATTAAACCAGTCTTGTTCAAGCATTAAGCTTTGGCTCATATGTGGATTATTATGCGATACCAGCTATATTTTACCCTGTGGATTATTGGCGATATTATTTTATGGGAATAAGAGACGGTAACACATTCGGACCGTCACAGGTGAAATACAGTTGAATTGGAGGGAAAGTCATGCCATTGTGTAATATTTTACTACAGAAATCTACAAGTAGCTCTCATGGGACATGCACACAATACAGCTGGAGGTTAAATTAATTTATTTACACATAAATACAAAGAAAGAAGTCAAAGACGTGTAAAGGATAAGACACAGGAAATTTATTGGATACAAAAAGCTTCATAATTCATTTCTCATATTTCTAGTTCGGAGCATGTTGCTTCATCAAGAAAAATACATTTAACTCTGCTTTTCTTCACTGAAAATTATTCAATACAACATTCCAACCATATAATTATCATTATACAAGCTTGTAGCTTATATAGAACCTATATAAACATATCACTTGACTCAAATCTGTGGCAATATTAAATATTAATACTGCAAATAAAATTACTTAATGGCTGAATGTTGTGTCTTGTTTCAAAACCAAGACAACTGTTACACTAAACATGGTTTGTGGATGGCAAGTTCACCTTCAGATTGTTATGTATTTAAGCTACTGGTGGAATAATCACTAAATGTGGAACAAAGAATACATACATAACTATCGCTCTCTTTTTCCACTTTCAAGCTGTCCTCTAATAAAATGTAACTTTTCAGCACGTCTGCCATGGACACCCTATTTATAATCTTTACTACCATGCCATAGGCACAATGGCAAAGCTGAAAAGTATAGAAGAACATTTTTTTACCTATGCATTTGCTATCAATGTGACCAACACAATGTATAAATACAATTGTATTTCCTAGAAAGTTACAAGTCATGGCTACCATAACACATGAATGTTGGCTCACGGAATAAAGCTTACTTACAAGTATTATGCTTCAGAGAAGGATATCAAATCTTGGTTGCAAAAACCTGCAACATGCACACATTTCTCAGAAGCCAAAAAAATTATATATATATATATATATATATATATATATACACACACACACACACACTTTAAAGACAAAAACACATCTCCTCCAGGACTGAATGAGGGACACTGCACAGGCATAGCCGAAGGGAAGAAATGTAAGGCACTCTGCATTGATCTCTCACTAGAAATAAACAGATGGCTATTTAGAGGGTGCTAATCTGAGTGGTGTAACAGTTGTGAGGTTTAGCAGACTGATATATAACCTACATGAAGTACAACAGGACAGCGACTGAGACCAAAAGTAAAAACACTTTCCTCTAAGAAATAGGAGCAGGTTAGTTTTCATGCCTCCCTCAGATGTAAAGACCAATCCATGGCTGTGTGAAGGTTGTCTCAATGACCATTCCCATATTTATTATAATTTACTTCCCTCTACAAGAGGTGGGTGCAACTGGAATGCTTGTGCATTCCAGCCTACCCCATACTCAGGATTTTGCTGCGCTTTTTCGGACATTGGACTGTCCCTTCTTGCCCCGTGTGTATTTGAAGGTGCGCAGTGGATTCTTTGACTTTGAGAACTGCAAGAAAGAATAAGAAATGTCAAACAAGTAAATTGTATACTCTTAAAAGGACCACTATAGGTTATCCAGGCCACTATATCTCAATTAAATGGTCTGGGTGCAGTGGCCCTATTGTATGGTCCTGGAAAGTAACCACACCTCTACTAGCCATCTTTCTGACAGACACTAGAGCAGTGGGTTCCAAACAGTCCTCAAAGCACATCTACCAGTCCAGGATTTAGGGATTACCCAGTTTTGAATAAGGATATTTTAGAAAGAAAGAAAAAGCACCTTGACACAACTGGGTAATCCCTAAATTATGCATTTGTAGGTGTGCTTTGAGGACTGATTTGGAAACCACTGCACTAGAAGATGCTTCCACTTCTACAATCAAGCCCGACTGTTCTGTGACGTTCAAAGTCCTCATGCATTTCAAAAGTTGAACGTCCTCTATTGGTACTCAGAGAGAAACATTGGATTCAATGATTCTCTATGAGAAGCATTGGAATGGATGAAAAGACTAAGAGCAGTCAGGCTGCATGAAGAAAACACAGGTGGCGGTGTAGGCAGAGTCTCAGCACTAGAAACAAGGTAAGTAAAAGTTATGTTTTTGAATTCATTTAGGAGGGATCAGAAATCTAAATATGTACTAGAACACAATAGTGTAAAAAATACACGTCTGTATTCCTAACGCCACAGTGTTCCTTTAACACCACGTACACACAACAAATAGAGCCAGTAAATTCAAAACCAAAAATATTATGTTCACCAATAAGTAAAAAATGAAGACATTTATGTTCAGCATAGGGTATTATAGATAAACTTTACACAGTAGTTAATATTACAAACAGTAATTTTTGCACACAAAAATGTATTTCTTGGCTCAGCTATGCCAGCCTATAGGAAGCATCCAAGTGAAATGATGCATATTTACCTTTTCTTGAGAAAATTTTACTTTCTTCTATCTGGTTGAGCAGTTGTGTTTGGTCAGATTCTACTGTTATCTGACCAACTGTTGTTCAACCTAAATTGCCTACTCTTGCAGATTCACACAGGGCAATCAAAGCATTGCCCTATGTGCTCTACATAGCAGCAGGCAGACCTCAAAAGGATTCTCCAGTGCCAGCAAAACAAACCCGTTTTCCTGGCACTAGACAATCCTGGAATACCCCCCCCCCCTTCCCGCCCCCCATCCCATGTCGCTGAAGGGGTTAAAACCCCTTCAGCTACTTACCTGAATCCAGCGCCGATGTCCCTCGGCACTGGGTCAAGCTCCGCCCACGCTCCTCCCCTGCCGTCAGCTGGCAGGGGAGACCTAATGCGCATGCGCAGCAATGGCCATGCACACATTAGACCTGACGCTGGAGGTCCGTGAGGACGTCCAGCATCAGATAACAGACAAAAAGTCAGTTTAGATTCCGGAAGTGCCCCCAGTGGTTGTCTGTTAGACAACCACAGAGGGCAGACTTAGAGCTGCAATGTAAACATTGCAGTTCTCTGGAACTGCAATGTTTTAAATTGCGGCACTAGGTGCAAAAGGGTCACAGCACCCAGACAACTTCAATTAACTGAAGTGGTCTGGGTGCCTACAGTGTCCCTTTAAAGAATGAAAGGCTCACTTTAAAGTTAATAGGGTTCAGTATTTAAAATGGGCAAGATTTAAATTTTAAAAATACCATAAAACTAATTCTATAATACATATACAACATTCTGGAGAGTCACAACTGGACCAGTTTTAGGTGATCAAATTAGTTGGATAGTCCATGAAATTCACAAACATTCTACTTGACTAACTGTTTTAAAACAAAGTGTCAATTATGCAAATCAAAGGGTTTTTTTCCAAGCCAAAGATAAAATACAACTCCAAAATATATTAAAATCACATGTTCTACAATTTAAAGATTGTTACAAAAATTACCCCAAAACACATCAAGGATTTGTTACATACATATAATTTACAATGTTTTTTTTTTTTTGTGTGTGTGTGTGTGTTTTTAATAGAATGGCTTTTGATGAAAAACAATTGATATTTTTAAATAAATATATATAAATTTGCGCATAAATAGTACAATTTAGTTATCCCATTAGTTTCCATCTGAAATTTTAAAACAAACAACTTATTATAAACCAAAGTCAAGATGAATAAAAACAGTTATTATTCTGATCCTGGTGCCACCTCTGGATTAAAAGGAAGGAAACTACCTATAGCTTAAACTATTGCACAGAATTATGGCTATGCATTTCACTAATGGGGTGTAAGGAGGGGCAAGGAAATACATTAGTCTCACCTTTGACCGAGCCTCTTGTATTCTGGAAACTCCAGTTCTTAACTTTCTCTTCTTCTTCATGCGGTGATAAGGATCAGCAATGGAGCGCAGAGAAGGAGGGACTGAGGTGACAAGAGATGGTAAGTCAATAAGGAAACCAATGAAGGCCACGTGTGTAGTTTAAAGTTACAGTAATAATGTACAAGGGAAGGTAAAATAAAAAGGCACAAAGAGGTGAATTGACCACCAATAAACAAACAATGCTAATAAATCAGATCCTAGCAATGTAGTCCCACATAAAAAGAACGTGGATAAAGGAATTGTGCAGGAATACACCACCACCTTTAGACAGGCTTAAATACGCACAATGACTTATTCACAGTGACAATGACACAGAGGACACCTACAGGCACATGGATATATAACACACAAAGTAAAAAAGGTGATGCCCCCAAGTAAAGTTACGCAGTGGTATACATACCAGGACCTAAACACAGTTAACAACAACAGACGTGGCAATAAGGGCAACAATGGAAGAGATAAATGGTAGGATGGAAGGAGCAAGAAAGACACTTTTCACATTAAAGAGATAAGACCCACAACATACTCAGGTAGTCAGGAACATTTTTGAGGTGAGGTTTGACAACGGCAGGGTGCAGAGGCTTATCATGACGCAAGAGGTTGAAATCACGAGGGTTGTCTTCAAAATATGTCTGCAGATAGGAACATGGTTCAAAATGTAAGATAAAAAACATAAAATATGTATTTATTTATTTTTTTATCCACTCTACAATACAGACACACACACACACAAAATATACTTTTTCACTACGGGAGATCTTGTTTAGAATTCAGTTACACAGTACAACTCTGTGGAACGTTTTAGATGTGTAAAATCGTTACTCTTCAGCTTCCTGAGGGTGATTAAAGTAATAAAGGAATATAGGAAAACTAATCCTATAATTCAGAGAAACATATGCTTCCACAACTTCAACAATTTCAATGGCAGCATGTTAGCTTTTGAAGCCTACCAATTTACAGCTGTGCTGTTCTAATTAAATTTCACATTAACAGCACGCACATGGTGGCAAGCTGAATGTCACTGTAATGAGCCACCTATTGCATGAAAGGCATATCCGCACTCTTTACAGATAGTATATGTATAGTGTGACTGCCTATAGATAGAGATGTAGGGATCTGCTATTTTCCTATATCGGCACTCAGCATTTTTCTTGTTTTAGTTACTATATTTGGAATAACTGACAGTATAATTTGTGGAAGGAATCCTTATCTAGGTTGCACGGCACTTTGATCTCCTGGAAGAACTGTCACTTTAGCGGAGATCACTATAGAAGGCAAAGCACTTTAATTCGTTTTGATGAGAATGTCATAGCAACTTTTAAAATTATTTAGCTGGGGTGAGTAGAGAGTCACACCTGGTGATGCACCATGGATGCTCCAGATTTACAGTGGTGAGCAACATTTACGCCTTGGCAAGTAGTGCAATCTATAATAAGCCCTGTGGGGTGTGTGTGTGGGGGGGGGGGGGTGCGACAGTAGAGAGCAATGTCAAGCTAACATCACAGGAGTGGATGCACGGGGCAAGCGGCATGCAGCTGAGCAGAGGTTCATCAGCTAAGCCAACGTCTAGAAAAGTAACAGAAAAAGCATGCTGGGATGTACAGCTATATAGAGACTACACTACATAATGTGGGGGCATTATATTAGAAAGAGAGGCTAACAGTGTTTGCCAACCTTGAGTTTTTCAGAGTTAAGAAGTTCTTCCTTTATCTCTTTCAAGCGTGCCTCCTTTATTGCTTGTTTGGTGACAGATCTCATGGCATCCTGTGTATATATAAATGTGAAAGTTTAGTGAACACAAAATTCAGAAGCTTCACAGACACTGTCAGGACTTTAATTATTACAATTACAGCACTATTACATTAAAGCATGTCTGTATCAAACAATTTACCTTCTGGGCACTACACCACTGTATGGCAATGAAGTTGTAATGGTGCTTGGAGTTCCCTGGGTTCATCTTACTTTCCACTAACCTATTTTTGAAATAGTTCCCCAAATTCACCATTCTGCCTCTTCTCTGGTGCTCAAGGTAATGCAGAAACATTTTGCGAACATTCTTAGCCTATCACAGTCTGCCCACTAAGAGTACAGCTTACAAAATACATGTATGTTTAATTGCAATGGGTGAACAGTGACAGACTGAGAACATCAGCTGAATGCCTCCACATTAGCACCAAGCACCAGAGGAGAAGCAGCATAACAGGAGGCTGGGGACGCTAGGGACTCCAGACACCATATTCACTTAACTGAGATGAAGTGGTTATTGTGCCAAATGTGATCCTTTAATATCCAGCACTCACCCGACAGCGGTACCGAAATCCTTCCACCTCCTCCATGCGGAATCGATAGGGCTTTAGAGCGCACTGCTCAGGACCATCTGCAACGGAAAGAGGTAAAAGGCAAAAGTATACATTTAGTTTTTTTTGTATTAAAAACATACATAGCTATACATTTTTCTTCCCCCTAGACATATATAGTTAGGTCTGTAAATATTTGGACACTGACAAAGTTTTCTGAATTTTGGCTCTGCACACCACCACCACAATGGATTTGAAATGAAAAAACAGATGCAAATAAAATGCAGACCGTCAGCTTTAATTCAAGGGGTTAACAAAAATATCAAAGGTTCAAGAAAAGCAACCAATTTCATACACAGTCCCCTTATTTCAGGGGCTCAAATTGGACAAATGAACACAATCAGAAATAAAATGTACATTTTTAATACTTTGTCAAGAATCCTTTGCAGGCAATGACTGCTTGAAGTATGGAATGCATGGACGTCACCAAACGCAGAGTTTCCTTCTTGTAATTCTTTACCCTGCCTTTACTGCAGTTATCTTAAGTTGTTTGTTTGCGTGTCTTTCTGCCTTAAGTTTTGTCTTGAGTAAGTGAAATGCTTGGTTGATCGGGTTGAGATCAGGTGGTTGACTAGGCCATTGCAGAATACTCTACTTAAAGGACCACTATGGTGCCAGGAAAACAAACTTGTTGTCCTGGCACTATAGGGGCATTAGGTCCCCCCCACCCTCAGGGCCCCCCTCCCGCTGGGCTGTAGAGGTTAAAACCCCTTCAGCGCCGGGCTCCCTCCACCCCCTGCTGACGTCAGATCCATGAGCATTGAAATCGCCCATAGGAAAGCATTACTTAATGCTTTCCTATGGACGTCCGGCGTCTTCTCACTGATTTTCACAGTGAGAAGCGTAGAAGACAGCCACTAGAGGCTGGATTAACCCTCAGTGAAACCTAGTAGTTTCTCTGAAACTATGTTTTCAACTGCAGGGTTAAACCTAGAGGGAACTTCATTGAGCTGAAGTGATCTGGGTGCCTATGGTGGTCCTTTAAACTCCTGGGTTGCTTTCGTAGCGTTGGGTCATTATCCATCTGTAAAGTCAAGATTCATCTAATCAGCTCTCTGAATTTGGTTAAATCTGAGCAGACAATATATCCCTAAACACTTCAAAATTAATCTGGCTGCTTCTATCTTCTGTCACATCATCAATCAAGACTAGTGACCCAGTGCCATTGGAAGCCATGCATGCCCAAGACATCCCACTGCCTCCACCATGTTTTACAGCAGACCATGAGCTGTTTCAAGCCTTCTCCATAGTTTTGTCTTATCTTCTGGTACACGTTGGATTTAGTTTCATCTGTCCAAAGAATGATGTTCCAGAATTTGGCTGGCTTTTTTTAAGATTTTTTTTTTTTTTGCAAAGTCTAATCTGTCCTTTCTATTCTTGAGGCTTATGAATGGTTTGCACAAATGTGGTGAACCCTCTATGTTTGCGCTCGTGAAGATGGTAGAAGAGTGGTCCTTTAATCTCTGAGAGACACATCCAGTCTCAACCAATGAGGAAAAAGGAACTGAGGAATTCTGGAAAGTTTAAAGAACTATTGGTAGCCCACAAACAATTGTTTGAGGAAAAACGGTCCAATTTAAGCACAAATATACCAAATATTAATACACCTAATAAAGACTGAAATAAGTGTGCGTGCACTACCTGACACCTGTGTGACTCAGCATGCTCTGTTAAGCACACAGGCAAGTCACTGGCTGTCAGACAGTGTGCACAAACACTGCAGGTAGAAGACACAATGTGTGCCATCATAACATGGCCACCGCCATCCCTTCAACCAACCAGTAAGATTGCCCTGTCTCACAAAAAGCTAAGTAATGACATCACCAACCCGCAGGACATATAAAGAATACAACGGCCGATGCAAGGGAGCATCCCACCGAAGTTGGACAGACATGGCAGAGAAAAAATAGTTAGTACACAGGGAGGAAAGTATGCTGCACAAAATTTTACACAGACAACCATAAAAATAAATAAAAAACAAACAGTTTGGTTCAAAACACAAAGTATCACTTTGGTCCAGAGTGAATTTGTTAGACAGCTGTCCTTTAATATAGACACCAAACATTTTATATAAAACAGCAATCACAAATCACACTCACCCCCTCCCAGTGCCTCCTCAATCTCTCCCAAAATAGGTAGCTCTGTGTGTGCCACAAATGTAAGAGCAACCCCGGGGTTATTAGCTCGGGCTGTCCTGGAACAAAGATAAGATGGTGTTAAGGAAACAAGAGGGTGGAAAAAAAAGGAGTTCTATGAGGGATGGGAAGAATTGCAAGGTGATGTATGGGAACATGACCAATTTGTGGGGGGGAGGGGGGGAATGTGTGTAGACTAGGATACAGGGCTAGATCAGAGAAAGCTGAAAATGGGAGAAAAGACTGATTGAGAGGGTAACGTACATAGGAGACAGTTCTGATTTAGAGGTAGAAAGGTAAATAGGAGGAAAATTACTAATTTGGCTGTTGATGTAGAAAAAAGAATGAGGGAGATCAGGAGGCTAATACAGAAAATAGAATGTGTATAGATACACATACCTTCCTGCGCGGTGGATATAGGAATCAACAGACTGAGGGAAGTCAAAGTTTAATACTGTAGACACATTTTGAAAATCAATACCACGAGACACTCCATATTCACTACTTTGCACTCTGAAAATGAGAGGGTTAAAGACAATGGTGAGAGCTTCCAATCACAAACCTAATGGAGGGCAGCTGCATGAACAGGAAGAACAGCACTACAATGACACAGTCAATATAGAGATAACAGAGCTATATGGCAAGACAGAGGTTTATAGGGTCAATACAGGTCTAGAACAGTGAGCTGCAGCATATATAGGTTTGACCCATGTTTTAAGCCAATGCAAGAATAATAAATAAGTTTAATAACAATGCTACTGTAGGAATAACATGTAATATATTGTGTAAGGTAGAATAAAGCGCTCACTTTTCTGATTTGCCTCTTTTCTTCTTCTTCTTTGCTTCCTTGTTTTCTTGCTCAGTAGGAAGTGATAACGAGTGTTCATCTGTTGCAACAATGTAATCATACAAGCCTTGATTGAACTGTCCAATAATGTGACACCTACGAGAGCAAAAAAACCAAAACAAGATATCACTATACAGATGAATATAGCTCTTGAAGTCACTAACAGGTATTGAAACATTCACAGCATGAAAGAATAAAAACCCAGCAATTATAAAATCGCTGGCCATCTGCTTACTTGGCTTTTAATTTAAGAGACTCTTCTAACCATTTAATCTCATTAGATTGGTTATAGTGCCCGAGTCCTCTGGCACTGTACCTCCATACACTGTTAACCCCTTAAGGACGGAGCCAAATGTACAAGTTGTGATCAAACCAAAATGTAAACAAACCACAGAATTTGACTCTCTGTCTGTTCAACTATAATATACCTCTTTCATACTAAGTGCACCCACACTTATTATATATCGGTTTGCTCAGGGGAAACAGGGCTTTCATTCCATATCAAACATTCATATATAGAACTCCATTTTATATGAATAAAATCTAAAAAAGTTAAAAAACTTAAGAAATTTTGATATTTTTCAATTTCTGCATGTCAATTTAACTGATAATGTCACAATACTGTTTGGTTTTACTGCAATAAAACATACATATTTGTATTCAGAAATGTCTCATGAGTAAAACAGTACCCCCCCATGTATAGGTTTTATGGTGTTTTTGAAAGTTACATGGTCAAATATACGTCTTGTCTATTTATTTATTTTTTACATAGAAATTTCACAGATTGGTTTGCTGGGCTTAGGTTGCCTTTGAGACCGTATGGCAGCCAAGAAATGTAAGTTACGCCATCATGGCATACCATTTGAAAAAGTACACATCCCAGGGTATTCAAAATGGGGTATGTCCAGTCTTTTGTAGTAGCCACTTGGGCATAAACGCTAGCCAAAGTTAGTGTTCATTTTTTTTTTTTTCATTTTTCAAATAAAAACTGTATTTTTGCTGATAATATTATTGTCAGTATATAGTTTACTGCCCTGAAACACTCCTAGTTCTATTCAGTGATGTCTCACGAGCGGCACGGTATGCCCTATGCATTGGTTTTAGGCGTTTTTTGAAAGTTACAGGGTCATATATACGGCTTATCCATTTATGCTTTTTCACAATGGAATTTGTCAGATTAGTTTGCTGTGTCTAGGCTGCCTTTGAGACCGTATGGCAGCCAAGAAATGAAAACTACCCCTTAATGGCATACCATTTGAAAAAGTAGACATCCCAAGGTATTCAAAATGGGGTATGGCCAGTCTTTTGTAGTAGCCACTTGGGCACAAATGCTAGCCAAAGTTAGTGTTCCGGTTTATTTTTTGCGTTTTTCACATAAAAACTGTACTTTTACTGATAATATTAACGTCTGTATATAGTCTACTGCCCTGAAACCCTCCTAGTTCTGTTCAGTGGTGTCTCACAAGCACCACGGTACCCCCCATGTATAGGTTTTATGGGGTTTTTGAAAGTTACAGGGTCATATATACGGCTTATCCATTTATGCTTTTTCACATTCAAATTTGTCAGATTAGTCTGATGTGACAAGGCCGCCTTTGAGACCGTATGGCAGCCAAGAAATGAAAATTACCCCTTAATGGCATACCATTTGAAAAAGTAGACATCCCAGGGTATTCAAAATGGGGTATGGCCAGTCTTTTGTAGTAGCCACTTGGGCACAAATGCTAGCCAAAGTTAGTGTTCCGTTTTTTTTTTTGCGTTTTTCACATAAAAACTGTACTTTTACTGATAATATTAACGTCTGTATATAGTCTACTGCCCTGAAATCCTCCTGGTTCTGTTCAGTGGTGTCTCACAAGCACCACGGTACCCCCCATGTATAGGTTTTATGGGGTTTTCGAAAGTTACAGGGTCATATATACGGCTTATCCATTTATGCTTTTTCACAATGGAATTTGTCAGATTAGTTTGCTGTGTCTAGGCTGACTTTGAGACCGTATGGCAGCCAAGAAATGAAAATTACCCCTTAATGGCATACCATTTGAAAAAGTAGACATCCCAGGGTATTCAAAATGGGGTATGGCCAGTCTTTTGTAGTAGCCACTTGGGCACAAATGCTAGCCAAAGTTAGTGTTCCGTTTTTTTTTTTGCGTTTTTCACATAAAAACTGTACTTTTACTGATAATATAAATGTCTGTATATAGTCTACTGCCTTGAAACCCTCCTAGTTCTGTTCAGTGGTGTCTCACAAGCACCACGGTACCCCCCATGTATAGGTTTTATGTTTTTTTTTAAAGTTACAGGGTCATATATACGGCTTATCCATTTATGCTTTTTCACATTCAAATTTGTCAGATTAGTCTGATGTGACAAGGCCGCCTTTGAGACCGTATGGCAGCCAAGAAATGAAAATTACCCCTTAATGGCATACCATTTGAAAAAGTAGACATCCCAGGGTATTCAAAATGGGGTATGGCCAGTCTTTTGTAGTAGCCACTTGGGCACAAATGCTAGCCAAAGTTAGTGTTCCGTTTTTTTTTTTGCGTTTTTCACATAAAAACTGTACTTTTACTGATAATATTAACGTCAGTATATAGTCTACTGCCCTGAAATCCTCCTGGTTCTGTTCAGTGGTGTCTCACAAGCACCACGGTACCCCCCATGTATAGGTTTTATGGGGTTTTTGAAAGTTACAGGGTCATATATACGGCTTATCCATTTATGCTTTTTCACAATGGAATTTGTCAGATTAGTTTGCTGTGTCTAGGCTGCCTTTGAGACCGTATGGCAGCCAAGAAATGAAAACTACCCCTTAATGGCATACCATTTGAAAAAGTAGACATCCCAAGGTATTCAAAATGGGGTATGGCCAGTCTTTTGTAGTAGCCACTTGGGCACAAATGCTAGCCAAAGTTAGTGTTCCGGTTTATTTTTTGCGTTTTTCACATAAAAACTGTACTTTTACTGATAATATTAACGTCTGTATATAGTCTACTGCCCTGAAACCCTCCTAGTTCTGTTCAGTGGTGTCTCACAAGCACCACGGTACCCCCCATGTATAGGTTTTATGTTTTTTTTGAAAGTTACAGGGTCATATATACGGCTTATCCATTTATGCTTTTTCACAATGGAATTTGTCAGATTAGTTTGCTGTGTCTAGGCTGCCTTTGAGACCGTATGGCAGCCAAGAAATGAAAATTACCCCTTAATGGCATACCATTTGAAAAAGTAGACATCCCAGGGTATTCAAAATGGGGTATGGCCAGTCTTTTGTAGTAGCCACTTGGGCACAAATGCTAGCCAAAGTTAGTGTTCCGTTTTTTTTTTTGCGTTTTTCACATAAAAACTGTACTTTTACTGATAATATTAACGTCTGTATATAGTCTACTGCCCTGAAACCCTCCTAGTTCTGTTCAGTGGTGTCTCACAAGCACCACGGTACCCCCCATGTATAGGTTTTATGGGTTTTTTGAAAGTTACAGGGTCATATATACGGCTTATCCATTTATGCTTTTTCACAATGGAATTTGTCAGATTAGTTTGCTGTGACAAGGCTGCCTTTGAGACCGTATGGCAGCCAAGAAATGAAAACTACCCCTTAATGGCATACCATTTGAAAAAGTAGACATCCCAGGGTATTCAAAATGGGGTATGGCCAGTCTTTTGTAGTAGCCACTTGGGCACAAATGCTAGCCAAAGTTAGTGTTCCGGTTTTTTTTTTGCGTTTTTCACATAAAAACTGTACTTTTACTGATAATATAAATGTCTGTATATAGTCTACTGCCCTGAAACCCTCCTAGTTCTGTTCAGTGGTGTCTCACAAGCACCACGGTACCCCCCATGTATAGGTTTTATGGGGTTTTTGAAAGTTACAGGGTCATATATACGGTTTATCCATTTATGCTTTTTCACATTCAAATTTGTCAGATTAGTCTGCTGTGACAAGGCCGCCTTTGAGACCGTATGGCAGCCAAGAAATGAAAATTACCCCTTAATGGCATACCATTTGAAAAAGTAGACATCCCAGGGTATTCAAAATGGGGTATGGCCAGTCTTTTGTAGTAGCCACTTGGGCACAAATGCTAGCCAAAGTTAGTGTTCCGTTTTTTTTTTGTGTTTTTCACATAAAAACTGTACTTTTACTGATAATATTAACTTCTGTATATAGTCTACTGCCCTGAAACCCTCCTAGTTCTGTTCAGCGGTGTCTCACAAGCACCACGGTACCCCCCATGTATAGGTTTTATGTGGTTTTTGAAAGTTACAGTGTCTTACATAGGCCTGTCCATTTTTGGTTTTAAACATTGAAAATTGGCAAAGTGATTTTCTGGGCCTATCTCGCCTTTGAGAGAGCATGGCAGCCTGGGTAATAACATTTCCACTATTATGGCATACCATTTTCAAAAGTAGGCAACCCAGAGTATTTCAAATGGTGCATTTTGAGATGTTTGGTCTAACCACATTATCAGAAATGAAGGGCCCACATAGCGGTAATAGATTAATTTGTGCATTTTTCCACACATGAAATCACTTTTCACAGGACATTTCCTATTCCTGGTATGAGTTATTGCAACAAAGCCTCACTATTTTTTTTTTAACATTGTCTCCTGAATATAACAGTACCCCCATGTACCAGATTTTCTGTTTTTTGGGGAAGTCACAGGGACAAATATATTAGATGTCCATTTCAAAATTGGAAATTTGGCAAAGTGATTTTCTGGGCCTATCTCGCCTTTGAGAGAGCATGGCAGCCTGGGTAATAACATTTCCACCGTTGTGGCATACCATTTTCAAAAGTAGGCAAGCCAGAGTACAACAAAATGCAGACCTTAAGATGTTTGGTCTAGCCATTTTAACAGAAATGCTGGGCCCATGTAGCGATACCTACTTTTAGTTTTGTCTTTTTAATCACATAAATTGCATTTTCACTAGAAATGTCATAATTCTGGTATTAGTTAGTACACTAAAACCTCAGTATTTCGATTTAACACTGTCTTCTGAATATAACGGTACCCCCATGTATCATTATTTCAGATTTTTTTCCGATAAATACAGGGCAAAATATATTAGATGCCCTTTTAGCTTGTGAGTTTGGCAAAGTGATTTTCTGAGCCTATCTCGCCTTTGAGAGAGCATGGCAGCCTGGGTAATAACATTTCC